AATCTCTGCAGGGTAGGAGCAAGGGTCAGCCAGGCCTCGTGGCTTTCCCTGCTCCACCATCTGGCCCTTGTTCCCACCGCAGGGATGGACTGAGTGGGTGCTTAACAAACAACTGTGGTAACTTAGAGGTGACTCGTGACAACTGCCAGGGGCCAGGTAGGTGCCAGCACCCCAATGCACCTGCTTCCTACAGCCCCTCCTGTGAGGTACAGATGGTTACCCAGGATGAGGAAACCGAGGCTACAGAGGTACATGGGGAGGTCAGGAACGACCCCACGCTCTCCCCATGTCGCCTCCTGCCACCTCCTACCTTCGGCACCGATGGACACCAGCTTCACCCCCTTGCTGGCGATGAAGTCCAGGGCCTTGTTGACGTTGGCGATTCTGTGGAAGCGCATTTTGCCTTTGTCTGGCCTGGGCAGCCGCTCGCCTGGGTGACAAAGGTCATGAGAGGCAGTAGAAGATGTCCTCTCACCCACCCCTCCTTCACCACGTCCCCTTGGGGGCACTCTGCTGCCAAACTCCCCTCACTCTCCCCAGTCCCCCAGTTCTTTGGGGCCCCGGGCACTGATATGCCTCCCTCACCTGAGATGACCTCCAGGAGTAGCATGAGTTTGAGGCCGTTGCGGAAGTCGTCCTCGATGTTCTCGATCTGGGTGCCGGCCTTGCGCAGGTGCGAGTTACACCAGGCAGTGAAGGTCTGGGGGGCAGGGCAGAGCTCAGACCTGGTCCGGAGCGGGGGGGAGGGGGGTGTTGGGGGGGGCAGTGGAGTCGTCCAGCTCGGTCCATGCTCTGGGGTCAGGTAGAGCTGAGAGATAGGAGCTGAGAGCTGCACCCAGTTCACCCTCATTTTTGCATCTGGGGCCAGCCCCTTCCTCCGTCTGAGCTTTAGTTCTGGAAGAGCAAAACTGGGGCCCATACGCCACACAGTTTGGACTTGGGGTCCCTCGCTGCCAGCGCTCCAGCCTTGGCTAGCCTTCAGCACTGGAGACAGCCAAAAATTATAGAGCAGACACTCCAAAGTGGGGCCTCTGGGCATAGCCCAGGCAGGCCGCCTTTCGAAAGTCTGCTCCACTCTGGACGAGCCCATCTGGCTCCCATGGTCCTGCCTGAGGGCTGGGTCAGCTCTGGACAGGGTGGGCAGACAGGCAGCTCTGGGCAGGGCCTGCGTGGGGTTGGAGTTGGGGCATTCTTTCATTTGACTCCATTTTTCTTTTTTTTTTAAAGATTTATTTTTTTATACATATAGAACTGGGGTATGTATCTCACTGCAGGGGCAGTGAGAGGCTTCACCAGAGACAGAGTGGGGAGCAGAACAGGCAGATCGACGAAGTACACTGCTGAGGGGAGCAGCGTGCGGATCAGGAGAGGTCTGCTGTGCCGTGTGGGTCAGTTCCAGGGCAGGTGGGGATCGAACTCATGCTGCAGTGGCTTTAGCTTCTGAGTGCTGTGCTTTAACCTGCTGTGCCACCAGGGAGGGCCCCCATTTATCTTTTTAAAGATGTATTTATTTACATATACAGAACTGGGGTACTGGCCAAAGGTGTAGGAGCAGTGAGAGGCTTCACCAGAGACAGAACGGGGAGCAGAACAGGCAGATGGACGAAAGACACTGCTGAGGGGAGCAGCGGGAAGACAGGAGGGGTCTGCTGCACCCTGTGGGTCACTCCCTGGCGGGGGATCAAACTCTAGCTTCGCGGTGCTGCGTCCTGACCCGCTGCGCCACAGGGAGCTCACTTGCCTCTTACAGAGAGGGGCCCTCTCTAAAGGAACTCTCGCTCAAAGTCGTGTCTGAAGCGTGCCGGGAGACACTAGAGTTGGGGAATCTAGGGGAGATTTCCAAACAGGGCGGGGATGGTGGGGGGTGCTAATACTTGACGGCAGCTGTGATGGAACAGCAGGGTAGGGCAGGCGAGAAATGGTTGCTAGGTTTGTGGGGCGTCAGCTCTCCGGGCACTGCTGAATGAGGCTGGCGGTGGGGGCATACGTGCTGAGAGGCCGGCCGGAGGGGCGACAGGAGCCAGGTCATGCACGTCTGAGGCCCTAAGCCGGGGCATCTGAACTTGATCCTGAGGGCGGCAGGGAGCCGGGAGCTTTCAGATGGACTGGCAGGCTGTTTGGGAAGTCCCTGCTGTTGCGGAGTGGAGGCAGAAGCTGGGCCCAGCAGAATGGAGAGGTGTAGGGGCCAGGATGGGCGCCAGGGAGGGGATGGGCAGGATCAGGTGGACGAGACAGAAACTTCTGTGCTCGTCCCCTGACACCTAAAACAGCGTCTGGCCTGCTGTGAGACTCCTTGAGAAACACTGAGCAAGCGTTTCTGAATGAGATTGAATGCAGAGGACTTGAGTTGGGCAGGGGAGACTGTGCCCAGCAGGGAGAGCTGGGATGGGGCGGGGCTAGTGCCCCCCCAAAGGTGCTCATCACATGGTGGTAAGAAGTGACTGGAACCGAGGTTAGCAGGGGTGCTGACTGGGCTTGGGGCGAGCACTGTGCAGCCCCGGGGTGACAGATGAGATAGGTGGCTGCGACTCTGGTCAGAGGTGGTTATAGACAAAGGCGTTTTGCAGGGACATGTGGCCCTGGACCGGGAGAGCCTGGGCGGGCGGGGTGAGGGTAGCTGTGGTCGCAGAGCAGATGGCGCTGGAGCCAGGGGCGGGGATGCCGTCACGGGGAGGCCGCTGAACCACAGTCCTGCGCCCAGACAGGTGCAGGAGAAGCCTGCGGAAGGCTTGTCGGTTGCCTGAGGCACCCCAGCCCAGTCAGCTGAGCCTCCCAGTCCCTGGGTCATCTTCTGTCATCGTCTAACCCAGCAGAAGCACTGCGATTCTAAATCTGGGTTCTCAGATCCTACAAATTCCACCAAACACCCCTGTTCCCTGTCCTTTCCTGGGGTCCTAGCTGTTGGCAAATGCTGAGTGGGGCCCAATGTGATGCCATGGCAATACCCCGAGCTCCTCCACCACAGCCTGCCTTTTTCCAGAACTTCCTCCCTCCCGCTGGGGTCACTTTCTTTCTTGGGAACCCAGGTGTCCTGCCCCCTCCTTTTGGGAAAGTCTGGGTGTGAAACTAGGTCAGGGAGCCGAGGGCTGAGAGCCCTGCCAGGCTGAGAGCCCTACCAGGCTGGCCTGGCAGCAGTAACCCATGTGCCCTCTCCCCAGCTCCCCCATTGCGCTGCCTCAGCACAAAGTGTCCATCTGGCCAGAGTCAGGTTACTGCAAGGGAACCCAGGGCTCCCCTTCTCCCAGACCTCTTGACCTTTTCTGCCTACTCAGGGTCCCTAGGGAGGGGCGGGTATGTGGGTAGAAGTCTCAGTAGGGCAAGCAAAGGGCAAAGATTCTCAGGTTGAGGGTCCTGTTTTTGGGTCTGATTTGGGTCCTACCTTTCCCCCTTTCTTGGCCTGTTTCCTCGTTTGACAATCAGGAGAGAGACTATGGACACTGCTGGGGAGACAGCTGCAAGGATGCACGTCCTCCTAGAGGGTCTGGGAATATTTAACTGGGGCGGGGGCATGGGGAGAATATTCTTCCCCAACCCCAAGCCGGATCTCCTGGGCACTGCCCAACCGAGTTCACCAGCAGAAGTGGGGCAGTGGGCCAGGGGCGAGAACCCCGGGGATAGGGACCCCAGGAACTTTTTATCATCCTAAGCCCCTCCCCACCCTCCCTCTCTTTCGGATAGCTGAAGGCTGAGGGCAGAGCCTGGGCTGGGGAGCGACTGGGTTAAGGCAGCGTTGCTGGGATGCCGGACCCTGGCTCCTCAGGCCGGGCTTTTGCTATTGCAAATGGACAAACACTCACTTTCCGCTGCTGCTTCTCCCAGGCCGGGTCCAGCAGCAGGTCGCGGTCCCAATCTTCCTCTTGTTCCATGTACTCGCTGCCCACGCTGCCCGCGAGGGGCCCCTCCCCGGCCCTCAGACCCTCGGGCTGCAGAACCATCCTCCTCCCGCTCAGGGTGGGGCTCGGCGCTGTGGGGCACCCGGGCTGCTGGGACACCCAGGCTGCTGCATTAAGTAGGGTCCAGGCCAGCCCCGGATCGGATTCGCTCTAAATATGGGGGCGGAGGGTGGGGCCGGATAGGGGCGCGGGCGCTTGGGTCCGGACCAAGCAAGAGGTTGCCTTGAGAGCGGGCAACTGCAGATTTTGGGGGACCCTGAGGTGAATCTCGCGGAGGAGGCCCGGGGTTCGCTCTGTGGCTCCACCTCTTGGTGCTGTGTGACCTCAGGAAAATCACGGGCCCTCTCTGAGTCCTCCCTCGAATGTACCAGGGAGTGGCGATAATAGCGGTGCAGGCGCTCGAGAAGCAGCCCGTTGGGGCTCCTCCAGACCCTCCACCTGCGCCATGCTGGAGGGAAACCGGGAGTCCTATCCCCATTTTACTGCGAGACACAACGAGGTGCTGAGCTGTTTTGAGCGTTTTCTGGGGTGATGCAACGAGCGTGTGGCTCCCGGCCAGCTGGATGGGCCCAGCAGGGCTATTAATATCGGGGCGGCCGCGGGGCGGTGAGCAGGAATGTGCTGAGCAGGGAAACCCCGACGCCGGACAGCGAGCGCCACTCAGGCCAGCGGGCCGGAACC